GCTCCGTGGCCCCCAGCACCTGGACGGGCCCCTAGCCTGGAATCCCACGACGCCCCTCTGCAGCGGCCCGACGGCTGCTGAGTAACCAGGCGTGGTGGCCCGCGGTGCGGCCCCTTGTCCCCTTTCCCTAGCCATCCTCCCGCCCTCGCGTTTTCCCTCGCACTTTTTCTCGTGCGTTCTTTCCCCCATCCCTCCCCATTCTCTCGTTTTTTCCTCATCCTTTCCCTCTTCCTCAGCTTGTTCTCTTTTCTTATTCTCTTTTTTGCTTTTTCTGTCTGCGTCTCTCCCAGTCTGTCTTGCTCTCTCATTCTCTCTCTCACTCTCACGCTCCCATTTCTTCTTTTTTCTTTCTGTCTCTCTCTCTCTCTGTTGCTCACTTTCTCTCTGTCTCTCTGTATGTATCTCATTCTTTCGCTGTCTCTCATTTTCTTTTCGTCTCTCTGCCTCTCGATCTCTCTCTCCCAGCCTTTCTGACTCTCCCCACCACCCTGCACCCCTGCCTCTTTTCCCTTTCTCCCCAGCTCTTCCCCCACTCCCCTCGGCTGCCACCAACACCGAGCAGACCAGACCGGAGAAAGCAAAGAGGATGCCGAATTGGGGATGGGGATGTGGATGTGGAGGGTGAGGGTAGGGGAGCTCAATAGGCATCCTCCCTGCATTTTCTAGTCGCCATTGCACTGCTGAGAAACTAAGGGTTTTATAAGCCAAAGTCCACGGTGGCTAGGGCGGCAGGTGGTTTCCACGGCAAAATAAAGTCTACAGGGAGACAGAGATCCAAAGAGACAGAGATTCAGCCAGAGAAAAACCGAGGTGAGGGGCCGTGAGAAAAAGATGTAGAGAAATAGAGATGCGCACACACTCAAAGATATAAAGCAAGTGTTTAGCCAGAGTCCTGGGGTGACAGGAAAGTGAAGGACAGAGAAACCAACTAGAGAGTGCACGCACTGAAGAGATAGCTTGAGAGACAGGTGAGACAAGCAGTAGAGTGTTAGAGATCAATGGAGAGAGAGGCAGAGCAATGCAGAGAGAACTTAGGCAGGGAGAGACAGAAACCACATGGAGAGACACAGAGACAAGAGGGTCCGGGAAAGACAGAGCAAGCACACACGTGCCAGGGAGAGACAGAAGGAGACACCTAGAGAATCAGAGGGAGACGCGGAAACAAGAGAGTTGGAGAGACACAGAGAGGGCAGAGACACAGAGAGCGACATTGAACAGGTGCGCTAGGGACCCACAAAGATGAACTGCTAGGGAAATAGAGAGAAATGGAGAGACAAGAGAGTATTAGGGAAAGACGGAGACACACACCAACTAGCCAGCGACACAGTAACAAGCAGAGACACAGAGAGACAGAACGGATCAGAAAGAGACTGAGGGAGAGACAAGGGCAAGACTGTGAGAAAGATAGGGAGCGAGAGCGCGAGCCCTGCAGAGAAAGTGCGCTAGCAAAAGAGACACACACAGACAGACTGAGAGACAGAGAGGAAGAGAGAAATGAGAGTAACAGAAAGGAAAGAGACAGCATGCACGTGCTATCGAGAGACGGAGAAACAGAGACAGACATGAGTGAGAGACAAAGATGAGAAAGAATCAGGAAACGGTGAGACACATACAGACACACGCCCGGAGAGATACAGAAAAAAAGTGCGCTAGCGAGAGACACTGGAGAGAGACAGAAACTGACTATCGTAAACAGACAGAAACAGAGAGCGCACGCGCATGCGCTAGCGCTAGCGCTAGCGACCAAAACTCCCGGGAGCCAGAGACAGCGTGAGAGACAAGCAGAGAAAGCGCGCGCACGCACGCGCCAGCAGGAGAAACAGATCAGAGGAAATCAGAGCCCTGGAGAGAGACAGGCAGACAGATCTGAAGAGTGCGGAAAGGAGCCATAGAAGCTGCCTATACTGGGGATGGGGCTGTGCGGGAACCCGGGGTAGGGGGTCCTGCAGCGCCCCTGCTGGGCGCGGAGGCTTCTCCCCTTGACGGGTGACTAACTCTTCCTGCGTGTTTCTTTTGTCACCAGCATAGGCACTGAGTGCGGTCTGTGCACCCCTTTGCCACCCACCAGTGCCGGCGCTGAGCCTGCACCCTGTCTCACGCCCTCTGGCTGTTGCCATGACGTCCACCTGCACCAACAGCACGCGCGAGAGTAACAGCAGCCACACGTGCATGCCCCTCTCCAAAATGCCCATCAGCCTGGCTCACGGCATCATCCGCTCAACCGTGCTGGTTATCTTCCTCGCTGCCTCTTTCGTCGGCAACATAGTGCTGGCGCTAGTGTTGCAGCGCAAACCGCAGCTGCTGCAGGTGACCAACCGTTTTATCTTTAACCTCCTCGTCACCGACCTGCTGCAGGTTTCGCTCGTGGCACCCTGGGTGGTGGCCACCTCTGTGCCTCTCTTCTGGCCCCTCAACAGCCACTTCTGCACGGCCCTGGTTAGCCTCACCCACCTGTTCGCCTTCGCCAGTGTCAACACCATTGTCGTGGTGTCGGTGGATCGCTACTTGTCCATCATCCACCCTCTCTCCTACTCGTCCAAGATGACCCAGCGCCGTGGTTACTTGCTCCTCTATGGCACCTGGATTGTGGCCATCCTGCAGAGCACTCCTCCACTCTACGGCTGGGGCCAGGCTGCCTTTGATGAGCGCAATGCCCTCTGCTCCATGATCTGGGGGGCCAGCCCCAGCTACACTATTGTCAGCGTGGTGTCCTTCATCGTCATTCCACTGATTGTCATGATTGCCTGCTACTCCGTGGTGTTCGGTGCAGCCCGGAGGCAGCATGCTCTGCTGTACAATGTCAAGAGACACAGCTTGGAAGTGCGAGTCAAGGACTGTGTAGAGAATGAGGATGAAGAGGGAGCAGAGAAGGAGTTCCAGGATGAGAGTGAGTTTCGCCGCCAGCATGAAGGTGAGGTCAAGGCCAAAGAGGGCAGAATGGAAGTCAAGGACGGCAGCCTGAAGGCCAAGGAAGGAAGCAAGGGGACCAGTGAGGGTAGTGCAGAGGCCAGGGACAGCGAGGAGGTCAGAGAGAGCAGCATGGTGGCCAGCGACGGCAGCGTGGAGGGTAAGGAAGGTGGCACCAAAGTTGAGAACAGCATGAAGGCAGACAAGGGTGGCACAGAGGTCAACCAGTGCAGCATTGACTTGGGTGAAGACGACATGGAGTTTGGTGAAGACGACATCAATTTCAGTGAGGGTGATGTCGAGGCAGTGAACATCCCGGAGCGCCTCCCACCCAGTCGTGGTAACAGCAACAGCGACCCTCCTCTGCCCAGGTGCTACCAGTGCAAAGCTGCTAAAGTGATCTTCATCATCATTTTCTCCTATGTGCTATCCCTGGGGCCCTACTGCTTTTTGGCAGTCTTGGCTGTGTGGGTGGATGTCGAAACCAAGGTACCCCAGTGGGTGATCACCATAATCATCTGGCTTTTCTTCCTGCAGTGCTGCATCCACCCCTACATCTATGGCTACATGCACAAGACCATTAAGAAGGAAATCCAGGATATGCTGAAGAAGTTCTTCTGCAAGGAAAAGCCCCCGAAAGAAGATAGCCACCCAGACCTGCCCGGAACCGAAGCTGGCACACTGGGTGGTACTGAGGGCAAGATTGTCCCTTCCTACGATTCTGCTGCTTTTCCTTGAAGTTAGTTCTAAGGCAAACCATGAACTGTCCGTAACACGAGAAACAAGAGCAGATTTCTTTTCAATGGACCCACAATCCATTAATGCCAAACCATACCATTTCAGGCAAAGGTGTTGCACACACATGCTCTTCACCACGAGGTAGATAAATATATAGAAGAGGCAGGAACTGGGGTCTTTCCTTAAAAGGGTGGACTTGAGGATTCTGACTGAAATTTTCCCCCCAAAGATTATTAGGCTCTAAATTTCTTAAAGCAACAAGGGCTATCCATTTTGGACCTGTACTTGGTATTCTGTCTTTCCAGAGCTACAACATGCCAACTTTAGCTCTGAAGGAAAGGGAAGATGATGCTTGTGAACTTTAGGACTTTTCGGCCCTTGGGTTGGGAGCTCATGGGCCAGAGCTACAGCTTATGTTCAACTGAAAGAAAGGCAATGGACCAAATCATTCATGGAGCCCAAGAAACAGAACCTAATGGACTGATCAACATATGAGCCAAATTCTGAACTGAACAGCCCCACAGCCGGGTGCAAAGACTGTTATGCGAACTAAAACAAAGGGCCTCCTGCAGTTAGAATCTCAAGAAGGTTTCTAGATCCCGTAAAGGGATCCAGAAAGGTAGAAGGACATGTATGAAATGGGAAGCTAGTTCAAGGGAAAAGATCAAGAAATAACACACATTCGGGGGGCTAAACAGTTGACTTTTTTTTTTTTTATAAAATCTTGGGTTTATGCATGGGCTAGGACTAAGGTCATTAAGTGTAAATTGCCAATTGACACAAATATTTTCTGTCTCCTGCTTGAATAATAGTGGGGCAAAAATCATGCAACTATTTTACAACTTCCCTTATGTGACTGAATTGAGATGCTGGTAGGAATTCTTCAGATCTCTGCCAACCTTGTGTTTTCTTTTGGTTTGTTTTTGTCAAATAAGCCTTTTATATTCAAACAGTATTTACAGAAGAAAAGAAATTCAACTAAAAGTGGTCTAAATCCTACAAAATTCATAATGTCACTGAGGAACGATTTGTTCATCAGAAATATATTTTGTGTCCATGAGATCATAGACAATAATTGTGATCTCCACATGGGGAGCAAGGAAGGCAGAATGAACATTTTTCTTCCTTCAGGCACACCCATGTGTCTTTTCCACCTGTGGCTCTCTTTAAAGCTTTTAAGCTCTCTGTAGATGTGAGAGAGAAATATCAGAGAGTCAGAAATGACAAAGAGGATGGTTTCACAATACCTGGAAAACATCTAATCTATTCCAAACAGTCCTAAAATCAAAGCATTCAGGTCAGACATATCCTAATTAATGCTGTTGAAATAAATCACTTTGGGAAAACTTTAACAATATCTAAATTATCCCTAGGGTCAATTCACAGGAATATTTCTCAAATCCCAAACTGCAAAATAACTTTGGACAGGGATATACGTATATATTTCTGAGGGCATGGGCCATATGTATGTGACCAAGTAACATGGAACCAAAAAAAACAGTCAAGCTAGTGTTTTTGATCCTCCTATAGAATGAGTTAAAGCAACTCTAAAGTCAACCAACTGTTCATGCAGAAATCCACTGTCAATATGGGTGGAGGGAGTGTTTGGTTGAAAATGGTTAATCAGGTAGTTGTATGATGTAAGATGACCATCTTCAGAGTTTAACCTCATTCTTGTGTGATTGTCATGCCCTTATTAGAACTCATTTCATTTAAATAAATGCCCAGCTCATTTATATTTTTTATCTCTTCCTCCTCACAGATTTCAACATGAACTTCTCAAGGGGGAGAGGTAAACAGCAGTGTATTTGGACTGTGAATAACTCCGCATGGGAATTTGGGATTGCCATGTTCAGAATTTAGGAAAGGAGAGGGAATAGAAACAAATAATATAGAGCTGACCCTTCAAATAAAAATACCATGATAACCTTATTAATTCCAACTCCATTAATTTGGAACTTGTAGTTATTCAGACAAGGCACGAGGGCTGAAGTTTACCCTTACACTATCATTTATTTTTCTACCAAAATGCATAAAGTGAATTAACAGTCATAAATTTGTTCTACCAATTTATCACCAAACTCTTGTACTGACCTGTCCTTAAAGGATATCTGGGTGAAGAAATGGCCTATGTGATCAATCTTCCTATGGGGGAGGGGTAGTGCCTTGAGGTCTGTTCAAATGGTCAAAGGAATTCAAGGTAGCTATAGCTTATCCTTTGAGTAGAAATGCTTACTTGGGTAGGAAACAGGATTTCAAACATAAGTGTCTCCAAACATTGTGTTAAAACTGAACTTCTTGTTTTATTTTTAAAGTTCACCCCCTTCAAAGTGTATCAGAGAAAAGTGTTTGCCAAAATCCCAAATCAAAATGGAACCACAACCTGTACCAGTATGGTAAGTCCATTTAACAGCACACACAACATTCTCAAGGGCACCGAGATTCCCTGCTTTCCTTTTTGAAGTTCCTCTTTTCCGTATTTTAGTCGTTGTCCATTATTTTGGTAAACTGGATCCTCAAAAGTGAAGACCTTTTGAAAATACGAACCTGGAAAAGAGGACCTTTTCATTAAGAGTATTCTGCTTTGATGACATTTTCTTCTAAATGAACACTAAGGCCTATGGTTAGCTTGGAGATAGCAAGTACTTGAAATTTTTTGCTATTTTGAATAAAGCACTATCAACTTAATGAGGTTTTACTGCACATACTGTTTTGTCATTTGAAAATCTGAAAGCACACACAAAAAGTCATCATTAGCCTCACAGATCCTCATGTGCAATAGCTTTCCCTGAATGTTTTTAAAGGAGGTATTCTTTTGCCAAGGCCACTTCATATGTGCAGTAAAAAAAATCCCATTAAAGTACAGGGCCCAGACAAACCAGACTATGAAATGATGTGATTTTAAATTTAATGATTTTCCTTATTTACGAATAATAGAGCATCTAGTTTGCCAAGAAGTCACAGGTGCTTTGACTAACACACCAATTTCCACAAGCTTGGGAAGGCAGTAATAAGGAGCAAGCCCTGGGCTTCCATGATTTCTATAATTCTAGGGTCCCTCTTCTCTGAGACACCACAAGTACCAGCTGCTTGGAAGGCCTCTGCACTTCCAGCTCCCTGCCTACTTCTTGCCATCAGCCCACTACCTTCACCTGCCTCACTCCCTCTCCCTCTGCTGCACTGGCCCTTCAGGAATAGTCCATGCTTGAAGCTCTGCGTGTTCACCTACTCCCCATCCATCCCTTCCCAACCCAGAGCTCACAGATTCACAGGGACCTGGGGGCCTATGGAAACAGGGAAGGAGAGAAGTGAGCCATAGGAGTGACCAGCAATGAAAGGTATTTTTCTGTCTCCTACCCAACTCCACACCAATTTAGAGATGACGGGATACCTACTTCAAATTCAACAGGTAAGGAAAAGTGCCAGTTATTATTTAGTAGAAGGTAGGCGCCTCATTTTTTACCAAAAAAGCACCCGATATTACACATCAGTGGGGGAATAGTCAATCCTGTAGATACTGTCCAACTATTTCAGCAAAAATAAAACACTAAAAAATCTTTTACCTACAAAATTATAAGATGCCTAACATTGCCTTATTTTATACATAATTAGTCAATTAAGCTAGGTAAAGTTACTTCAAAAAGATTTTTTCATACTACCTGAAGGATAATTTACATGATTAAACTAGGCTTACTTAGACTTTGCCAAAAAGCTTTTAAAAGTGTCTGAAATACATCATTTGGAAGAAAAAATAATAATACACATCATCTGGTAATTTGAACTCTCAAGATAAAACTCTCATGAGTTGTTGGGATAAAAAAATGAGTAACAATTTAAACTACTGGACTGTATTTTTCTCTCATAACCACCCTGCCCAATATTTTGAGAAGAAAACAACAATAACGTGTTTTCCCCTCATAATGTCTCTTCTGTTGTATTCCTCTTCGAGGCAGACCTCATGCTGTCAGGAGAGGTTTCTCTAAGCAAAATGCCGTTTCCTTCTGGAGCAGACAAAAGATTATAGGAGCAGTTGGCTGTTAGCCAGTGGCCAAGATAAGGAGAGAAAATCTGGCCAGTCAATGGCTTTTAACCCTCTCCCTCCTTATCTCTTTCTCTTACTTTCCGTGGGCTGGACTAGTGATCTCGGCCCTCAAAGCCCCTCTAAGCTAAGGTATGAGGAGACAGAAGCAATGAGCTGGAAACAGCAAATGTGATAGTCTAAAATCCAAAAAGAAGAGAAATCCTTGTCATAAATTCTTTCCAATTACTTAGCAATGATCTCTTCCTCTACGGCAAATGCCCAGCTTGCTTATAGCTGTCTTTTGCCATAAGCAACAAAACTGGCTAGAGGAAGAAACAGGGAAGCTAAAATCCACTGAAAGAGGAAGAAACAGGAAAGCTAAAATCCACTGAACCTGGCCACAGATTGCCAGGTCACTGACAAGTTCACTGCTCTTTGGTAAATAGAATAAGAATCCTCAAGGTAAATGAAGGTTGCTAATAGGTGTCAAGTGTTTCCATCATTGCCTCCCAAAGCCTCCATATCTCAGAGTACACACACCAAGGGAAAACCACAGTGACTTAGACACTCAGCAGGAGGTTTACTGTGTCTGAGGAATAATTACTCTATCTGTCTTGTTCTAAAATGTAGAGAAAAACAAGATTGGTTTTAGTTTGATGTTTCAAACGTAAGTGGATTTCCCCCCTCTTCATCTGTGCTACAACTTTGATGTTAAAAGCTTGGTATTTTCGTCTTGTTTTAGTGACGTAGTATTTTTTGTAGTAATCCTCCTAAATGTAAACTATAACTGTATATAAAATGTAAGTGTTCTTGGAGATACGGTGCTAGATATTAGATCGTATGTGTTTGTAGATAGTGTCGTCCTCAAAGGTAGTATGTACATGTAAAGTTAGTTAATAAAATGCATGCCAAATTCTATGTGCGACCTACACTTTGGTCAGTTTCTGATGTAGAACATAGTACACTTGTTTTTTAAATT